AGGTTCTATTTCGACACCGAGAGAATCTCCCAGTCTCTGAAGAAGTGGTCAAGATAGCGGCAGGGAAGAGTAGACCTCAAATCCTAGAGATTCTATTTCGACACCGAGGGAAGAATCTGCCAGTTTCTGAAAAGGTAGTCGGGGCAGCGGCAGGGAATAAAATATATGGACCTGAAATCCTAGAGATTCTATTTCAACACCGAGGGGAGAATCTCCCAGTTTCTGAAGAAGTGGTCAAGATAGCGACAGGAAATAAGGGAAAATATGGACCTGATATTCTCAAGGTTCTATTTCACCATCGAGGAAATTATCTGAGGGAAACGGGGTTAGCCCCAGATCCGTGATAGTTCTACGCGTGCAACGAAGCGGGTGAACTCTGCGGCAGGCCGGCTGTGTAGGAAACGAGTTAGCCAAGCAGCAGCGTCAAATCGCTGTTATTTCAACCCTCATCTACATTCCCACCATACCTAGACAACCCTCTAACCATAACAAAAAGTATCAATAAGAGATGAGTGAGAGGGTCACAGAGGAACCGGAGCACAGAGGAACAGGGACACGTACTATAAGATTATAGAGAACTATGAGAGACTCTATACGGGATATTATAAGAGAGATAGAACATAACTGTAGAGAAGTCTCCGTGGGGGGGGAGATAATTTGGTTTAATTGGAATATATATAGGAAAGCGTGTCCTGTACATAGAATCCTTGGACACGACCTCTCGGTCGTTGACAACCCAGGAAGAGCCTCAAGAGGCGGCTGAAGTCGGGTATAATGCAACAATCAACCAATCAACGGGGTATGGATACTGAGGCCGAGAACTTTCTTACTTTTGAGCTTGGGATTGGGACTGCGAGATAGGTTAGCTGTGAGGTGGAGTGAGAAGGTGAGCTTGGGGAACTAGCGAAATGATCGAAGATTAAAAGGTTGGTTTTTTCTTTTCTTCTTTAGGGGCTCTAATATTTATGGCTAGTGCTTTGAACAACAGCGATAGAGTTAAAAGATTGCACATGCTTTTGATCGTTCAGCCGAATAAAGGGGTAAAAGAGAGGGGTGGATGATTATGGCGGATGTCTAGAATTCCTTCTATGTGTCTTGACTTTAAGGCAATTTGAAATCTGGTATGACAGGGCATCTTTTGCAGATTTCAGATAGGGGGTTATATAGTCCCAAATAAAATGGAAGTCTGAATCTCTGCGTATACACCTATTGAAAATGATAACTGCCATGTGGTATCCATATTATCATAAATGTACTTAATGACAAGAATTTCTAACATTGGAGGATTTAGAGACGAAATAGGAGATGTGATATCATTGCAGAGGTGACTCGCAACCTTCTCACTTTTAGAAAACGTTAGTTATCTATTACTTCACAATACAGATATGGTATACACATAAAAGACACCTGTTAATCCATTATTCTTCCGTTATCCAAACAGCATTATAGAAGGCTTAGGGTGCCATTACAGCTTATAAACGCGGTGACTTTTTTTGGTATCACATATGCTAGCCTGGAGGCCCTGTATTCTGTTCAATTAAGTCGACCCCAACGTCCGTATTGGCCCGCCTGGCAAACACCACTACGTCTGAACTGTATTGTTCTTGATTTCAGTTTCAATGCCTCTAGTTATTAGGGTTGGATTAGAAACTAGGGGAAAAATCTGTGCTGCCTTTCCATGAGCTGTGCTATCAAGAACTGGATATATCCCTAGCTACAATGAAGGGAGTGGCGACGGCTGCGCATATTATGAAATTTATTGGTACTAAATGTAGCGAGCTTGAATGAAAACCAGAAACTAAGAATGGCCTTGACCAGCCAACCTGTTCATAGTCGATCGTTTTTCATGCGCGTTGAATTGACTGGAAGTCGACGTCTCTCAACCGATAAAATAGATGAAGTAGCATTGACATACCCACAGATCAAAAACCACTAAGTGCCACCTTATTGCAAGGCCTGATGGTTAACCTTGTAAGCTTATGGGTTTAGACAAACATGCCCTTAACATCCATGAAGCATCTTCGTGTATCCTCAGCAGCAGCATGTTTAGCATGGGAGTCCGCATCCTTATTCCAATCTCTTGGAATATGCCAGAATTTGACTTGCATGCCATTGCTATCCCATCGTTCTATTTCTCCAAGTAGACACTCCCAAAGGTCCCGGTTCTTAACCGCTGCTCCTGTGGTTGTCTTCCAGTCTCTTTTTAGCCATCCGCGTACCCAGGTTGTCGCGCCATTAACAGCATACTTCGAATCCGTCGCAATAACAAGACTGTTGAACCCCTCGCTCGTCCAGAACCGGAATCGTAAAGCTGCAATAACGGCGCGTAGCTCTGCTCGGTTGCTTGTTTGCGGATGCGCTTCACCAGTAGGCCCTTCGTTTTCAAGACGGAAGCCTATGTAGCCTGCATCGTTAGGTGGTGTTATGGGAGGCTTAAAAACAACGCTATAGCCGGCTCTGGGTTTCTCTCCACCATTATCTAAGCATGCACCGTCTGTGTAGAGAAGCAATTGTTTGGCGTTGTTTCGATGAATGAACCGGCATACACATGGCGAGGCATCGGTAGTTCCAGGTGGGAAAAGTGACTGTGGAGTATCCTTGGAGTTTTGAGGGCGAAATTTTGTGGGAATGACGCGTCCTGTACCGACTCTCAGTCGCAGCATCTCGTCAATTTTTGTCTCCTCATCGATCACATCTTCATCATCAGAGTCTTGATCCTCTGCTAATATTTCTTCCATAAAGCTATAATCGACAGTGCAGATATAACAGACGACGAGCCGATGTTGACCACACACTAAGCGACCATTGGGAAGTTCGATAGGGCTGTCTGGGCGCCAAGGCATCTTTCAGGCTAGTTGTTGAGAGTCAAGGCGCAAATATGAAGGAGTAGAGTGATATTAGGGGGATTTCTTCCTTCGAGTGAGTTGAAATCGTTCGGATACTTGAGAGGGAGATAAGATCGTTGGGCATGTATTCATCAAGTGGGGCGAAGTGTTTAGGTGGATATTAAATTAAGTTGGGTGGGGTAACACAGGTGATTTAATCTTTCTGTGGAGAAGTTGATACACCTAAAATACCACAACGCACTCTGACAAGAAATGAACGCGATAGGGCCTTTTACTATGATCGGTTGCATGAATGCTGGAGTGATACCCTATATTTCTGTTCCACGTTGGCGAAGGATCAAGGTAGAGATGCAGGTCTACTGGCAATTGGCTAGTATTACCCATGAAAGACACACGGGTGTATGTCAATGCAGATCGATGCTTTCCCAGCTGAATATGAAGCGCGCCTCGGTATGCCTCGTATGTTATATGTTGGTTAGCTAGATGTATACTAATGTCTGTATGAATGTATGGAGGGCATACTCGATCGGGCTGAGTTGTGGATTCGTCAAAGTGCTGTATGCACAAAGCCCTTAGGGACTCTTCAACCTCTAGAAATGTGGAGTCTTTGTAGCATGGCATCGAGTATTGGGAAAAAGTAGATTTTACAATATGATTTATAGACTAAGCAAGGGCGTATGTATTTACATGTGACCCCGGAGCTGTAGAGCAAGGTATGGTAAAGTAATCGAGACGACGTACTGACTCATTCGTAACCTTAGTAAGTACACTGCCTCAAAATACGTCCAGTCAATTGATCCAGACAGACCGGTCCCATTGACACTTTGTTTAGTCGTGGCTCATACTGGGCGGAAGATCCTCATTCTGCGTCCCCCAAGCACTTTCCGTCAAACCTAGCTCGAGCTCAAGCACACCACCCTCATTGAAAAAGTCATGACCAATCCAATTCTGCGTCCACAGCTTACCATCTCGCTTAGCGCTCTGAATATAGATGGCCTTATAAGTCGGATCGAAGTTGAGGTTCCGAATTGTGGCAACCGCGCCAGTGACGCTGTTCCGGATACTGATCTCTTTGAAGAATGGCGGTGTGATCAGATAGACGTCTTGTCCATGAACTGGAAAAAGGCCCATCATGCTCAACACAGCGAATGAGCCCATTGCTCCACCGTCATCATTTCCAGGGATCCCAGAGACTGATGTGTTGAACTGAGATGGGATGTAAAAGTGGGAACGCGCGGCCGAGAGTGCCGGGCGACCAGCATAGTGGTATTGAAAAACGGTAAGAAAGGCTTGCTCATCTCCAACATAAAGTATGCCCGAATCGTGTAGGTAGTTCAGTCGAGATGTAAAGAGCTGAGTGCCGCCCAGTCGCTTTATCAGCAGACTCATATCCTGGGGTGCATAACTAAGCGCGTTTATGTCAGCGTAGAGTGTGGTACCAAAGGTGAATGACGTACAACGTATAGAGCCAGGAGCTTCCTTCATATGTTTCGTGCCCATCTGGGTTCAGATAGCATGATGTAAAGTTCATCAGTGGGCTGCAGAAGATGGGGTCCTGGTATCCCCATGTTCCATTTAGATAGCGAGGCTGCAGGAAGCCCGTGAAGCCTGTATCCACACCATTGATTGTCGACCTCTGATCATTCTTGAACATGTTCTGCCAGTTAGAAGCTCGTATGAGGTATTTCTCGTAGTCACTCTCATGGCCCATTCGCTTAGCCACTTCTGCGATACAGAAGTCATTGTATGCATATTCGACCGTTCTCGAAATACTGCGCGTGTGTAGTCCTGAGCCATCAGGATCGAAATCATCCGTGGGGATATAACCTAGTCCCTTCCAGCTCCGAAGGCCACCGCGCCCTTCGACACCCCAGTTCGCTGGTTCAACTTCCGCATCTTTTACAATAGCCTCGTAGGCTGTGTCCCAATCAACATCACTGACATTTTTCAAGTATGCATCCGCGATGAGAACGTCTGCATTAGACCCTCCTTGAGTGTACCCCTTGCAAAGAGACATACGACAATCGGGCAAATAACCTTCATGGCGGTAAATGTCGACCAAGCTCCTGATCATTCGGGATTGAGACAGGGGATCCATCAGAGTCAGTAATTGGTGTACTCCACGGTATGAATCCCATATACTGTAATTTTCTGGTCAGTAATCCGATAGCCTATTCTTGTGGGTTCTCTCACCAATAGAAGCTGTCGTAATACGGTTCTTCACTTGTCCAAAGAGGATTCTCTCCTGTATAATCCTGCGGGCTAATCATCGCTCGATACGCACCGCTCCAGAAAACCTTTTGTAAGTCGGACGAGATGCCTTCGGTATTGACGCTTATTACATTCAGTTTATCTCTCCACACAGATTCAGCCACAGACACTGTTTTAGCGAAATCGAAATCGGGCTGCTCTGTCTCTGCGTTGGAGCAAGCCTGTTCAACACTAATAAAGCTGACACCAACACGCGCAGTGATAGTATTGTCTTTTAATGCCTGGAATCTCGTAAACGTACCAGCCGAGAGAGTGGCTGGGGTATTGCTCCCGTCTTCAACAAGAGTGACAGTCTTCGGACTGGAACCAGCTCGATTTTTGACCCATGTCCCTGTGTCGCGAATATCACCGCCCTGGAAGTCTACACAGAAATGAAGTTCATACGACCCAATACCGAAACTCGGATTGAATGTGGCGTTCCCACTCAGGCGTCCAGACGAATCAACTGATGCTGTGCCGCCCTTTCGCGACTGGGGCAGGTCCATGAGATCGACAAGAATCACTGGACTAAGGGACTCTGTGGAGACATTGTTAAATGTAAATCGGTATAATGCTGAGTGGTTTGTCACCGTCATCTCAGCTTGTACGCCGTTTTCCAAAGCAATGCTAAAGTAGCCTGGCCTGGCCTTGGGAGAGTCTCGTACCCACGCGACTGCGCGATCGTTTTGTTGCCATTTACATTTGTTAAGGTCATCATCTGGGCAGTTAGGCTGTGCGAATATAGGAAAGTTTCCCATGGATGGTGACTAAGAGCAGGTCAAAACCCTGCGAATTGCCATAGAAACATTTCTAAAGTCATCACTTACACCCCCAGTCCCGGAGTCGTGGGTATGTGAGAACCCAGTGACTGTTTCGGTATCAAATGCAAAGCCAGCTTGATTCTCGCCCTGTGTGTCTGCTACCGCTTTTGCCATACCTTTACAGCTGTTAGTGGCTGGCTTCAGACGCTAAGTAAGAGAAAAATCACCGAATGGTAGTGTCGCCCCAGCAAAGGAATGGCCTATATTGCCTAATCAGTCCTGAGCGTACAGAACTGCTGTCATACAGATACATGCCTCCATTGGAAGTTCCAATAAGCGGATCGACATAGTCTAGGACATCAAACTCATTTGGAACTGTATCCTGTCCACTAGTTCGGCATGGAAATAAGCACGTTAAAGCAATCGCTCCTAGGAGCTTACGAGATGCGAAGCCTGACATATTGTGAGAATCAGATCGCACATGCAGAGATCGAAAATACGCTGGATTAAACAAAGAGGCAAAAGGCAGTAAGATATCAAGAAAAAATCCTTAGAAAAGGGGTATAACTTTATTTCACCCCTTGCTTCTTTCCAATGTGGCTGCACTATTGGGAATGGCATGCCTTAAATGCCCGCCGATGTCCCACCAAATCCGTGCCTTGAAAAGGGGCCATATGGGTTCCTATTACCCCCGCAGTAATTATTTGACATGTCAAAGTGATTTCGACCAATTGTCTATGGGATGCAATCTCAAGATGTGACATTAAATGCAGCCCCTCTTTGTGGAACGATGTGACATAGCGGAAATTACCGCTGCGATTAGGGAGAGAACAGCCTATTAGAGAGAATCCTGTACAAAAATGACCAAAGACGAGAAGGGAGTCCAAAGTAGACAAGTTTCTGCGGGTAAATGCCGATCATTTCGGATCTTACTTCGGCTGCATTATAGCTTCGGCGTAACCCCGCAATTCGTAGGAAACGTTGCACCACCTTGGATTGAAGCCCACCGAAAGAGACTAGTCAAATATTAAACAAGATCGTATGACCTTGAGGGTGCTAAACCATGGCGTGCGTACTAATCAATGCTGGTTGCTTCTTTGGCAGTCGAGCCGTTCTTTAGTAACCCTCAAAAAACCCAAGCTACCGTTTTTAGAACCTCATTAATGCAAGTGCACCTATATCGGGTGGCTGATAAAGTGCTGTGATACGCTGCAACCGTTTGGTAGATGTTCTGGAGGTGCTTCCTAACGAAACAAATTGGTGCAGATCAAGCCGCAACAGCCTCCGGAGGATTGGCCTGTGGGGGTCTTTGGCTCTGTGCCTCTTGTGACTTCATTCACGAAAAGAGATGGCTAGAGGTTTGGGAGCTTCAAACATCTCGAAACCATCCAACCGTATCGTACTCTTTCGCAGCAACACTTGCACAATCGACATCAACGGATTTGAAGCCACATGTTCTCAGCATTTCGTCAGAAATATGGACGAGTTGACGTGCGAAAAATATGCCTTCCCCTTAGGTATATCACCAGCTCAGTAATGATGAGGAGTGTGTGCATGTTAGTTATACATGGACAGGACTAGATTAGATCCATCACGATTCTATCCCAAGACTTCCCGTCCGTATCTGACGGCGGCCTTGGCAAGATCGGAGTATTAATTGACGATGAGTTTATCATGGGCTCGTTGGTTGGCAACCTGGAGGTGAAGTATGCCCGGAAGTTGGCATTCTCGTTTCGCAAGGCAATATTTTCTGCCTTCAGTTCCTGGACCTCCTGTTGCAGTGATGGTTGGGCTTCGAGCTCTGACATCATAGACGCCAGTTTCAGCAAGAGTTCGGGCCTTATATCTTTATCAACATCAAGCTGGCCATAATCAACAAGAAGGTTCCTGGCGCGGGACAAGACGTCAGTTTCCGGAGTTGCGAAATTCCCGTGATGTCCCGATGGCTGTTGACGGTCGACTTCAGGCGAAGATCGTATAGGCAGGGCCTGGGTGGGTCCTGCCAATGAGCCTAGAGCTGCCAGAGGCCGCCGCCCATCTATACGAGCATATTCATGGGGACTGGCGACTCGGCTATAGCCAGTTACACCGGGAGTGCTGCTCCGTGAGGCGTTTGAGGAAGCTGCGGACCTGTCGAATTGAGGGGGTGACTGATCCCACCGTTTGTGTTTGCAGGATGGGCAGTAGAACGGCCCAGACAATATGGAGCTATCTTGCGATGACAGGCAGGGAGCATGGTAAGACCTGCAGCAAGTTTCACACAATATCAAGTTGCCTGGATTACGGCAACTAGAGCAGACCAAGTTGTGCGGTTTTCCAGCACCTAGCGGCATTAGAACACACGAGCAATGTGGGAGATTATCCAGAAGAAACTAACGAATCCATTCATCATATATATAGCCTTTTTCCACGTCGGAGATACTGCCAGAACCATACCATTCGCTACTAGATCCCCCCACTGGGCGCAATGACTGCGATGTCGCTGTGTGCTGAACGAGTAAATGGCTGTTCCATGACCCAGGTTGGTTCAAAAGCCCTTGGGAAGTATTGGACTGCTTTTCTCTTGTCCGCAGCATGGCTAGTGATCCACAAGGACCATCTGAAGGATGTACTTGTAAAATTGGGACGATAGAGGTGAGATCGTATTCGGTATTGATCAATAGAAGCAGGTGGAAAAAGGATGTTCCGTGTTCCGAAGTCGGGTTGACCTCCGAATCTCATCCGAGGTACAGCCGTCCCGTGACCAGGCCGCTGCCAAGAATCCGTGACGACAGAAGCTTCCCCCAATCCTGCGATAGTGTCCAAACTAAAACCATTGCGGCTATCTGGAAACCGATGAAGCGCTCGCATAGCACTCAAGGAGCTCCGGTGTGTCGCGACATGTAGGGACAGTTCATGTCTTCTTGACTTTGGTGAAAGTAGATACTATTTCGCCACAATTGGAAGCCCCACTACACTGTGGAAACCATGCCTGGGGTACCATCCAACAAAGCATGTGAGCGATGCAAAAAGAGGCATCTCAAGGTCCGTGCCAACCATCGCTTGACTTCCCATCTTGCATTCTAAACCCTATAGTGCGATGAGGCACGTCCGAAATGCCAGCGCTGCACAAACGCTGGGGTAGACTGCCCGGGATATGTCCAAACGCGCAAATTCATAGACCAAGGCGCTTCGGTAAGGCGCCGATACGCGCCCTACCAAGAAAGTCACACAAAGTCACATACAAGCAAAAGCACAGAAAATGTAAGCTGGCGCATCGTACCCTTACATCCAGTGTTTCAGGGACGGTGTCTCATATCAACAGACTACCGGTGAACGCCTGCCCAGCTTGAACCAACATAGTGACCAACAAACTGCTGGTCCCAGTCAAGCTCATTCTGCACTTCCGCCCTCTGCGAGCTGGAGGTCTAGCGAGTGTAATCAACCAGGGGCTCACTCACCAACCCAAAGCGTAAGGGTTAACGCGACAAAATCCCCCATACGAATGAATTCTGTTAATTTCATGGCAAACCAGCCCATGACAGACACCGCGTCCGTTGACATTACTAGCTTGGACCAGTCACGGAGCACTTCTAGCAGGAGTGCTGGCCACAGTCCGCTGATTTTTAATAATGCTACATCTCCCCACGTCCTGGGTAATGCTTATAATGGCGTTCGATCCAGACCCCCATCTTCTCATACCGCCTCGGGGAGCCCATCACAGCCTAGCGAAAGAGACGAGTTTCAGGATATCTTCTCCGAACTCCAAACGGGCACTGAACATGAAACAGCGTTTCTGGTTCGGCATTTTTCGGATAATCTGGGGCCTTGGTACGTGAGGCCTTGAAAGAGTGTCGGTGTGGCTAGCGCTGATTGATGGACAGGCTTGACATCTCAGATTCGACCCGGTTTTTTGAGGTTCACGTACCAATACGCGCGATCAATGATCCCTTCTTAAAGTTTGCGATTGCTGCTCTGGCTGCGAAGCATCTCGGCAGGATGAAAGGCGCAAAATCACCAGCTAGTGGTGGAATGTTCACAAGCCCAGCGACCATGGAAATTTATCCAAACGCGACACAGGTGGACTGGTTTCTCAAAGCAACAAACTACTACTATATTGCCGCTTCGCGCATGAATTCCGCCATCTCTGAAGCTTACACTTCCGTATCTAGCTCTGCCATTTTAGAAGAATCAGCAATTCAAATCGCCAGTCGGTGGTTGAGTCTTCAGCCCCAGCAGTCTAGTTCTATCGCCGAAGAAGCTGCTAGCACCTTCTCGAGAAAGGCAGAGAATATCCTCGCAGCCTCGACTATCATGACGATGTATAAGATTCTGGATGAGCCCGCAGAAAATTGGCAATCGTGCGTGAACACCCCGTTCCACCTGTTTCTCGCAAACTAACGACTCATAATCGCTCTAGGCACCTTTCGGGAATAAAGTCATTATTTGACACTTTGCTAGAAGTGCACAGTGGTACTTCGCCTATTCCATGCTTACTGCCCCAAGGGGCTAGGGCAGCGTTCTGGAATCTTGCTCGGTTGGATTACCTAAGTGCTTATATTAATCGAGTCCCAACTCAGTTTGACCAGGACAACTTTTCCTTATGGAGAGCCGCCGGCATTTATATTGATGAATCGGGGAACATCTCATTGGATGCCAAGGATATGATTGATAAGGCGTTATCACCCGAAGATCTTGCAGCGAACAGCTTGACTTGGCTTGTTGCAAAAGTGATCAATTTTCTAGCGGAGTCGAAGAAGTCACAATGGGAACAATTAACAGGTCATTCATCTAGTGATCCACCTACACCATCTTCAACACCCACTACCTTTACTCCATACCCTTCTACGTCCACCTGGTTGAAACTCTGCTTCGATTTTCAGTCCTGGTTCGAAGGCTTACCGGAGACGTTCCGCCCATGCCTACGATTAGACCATCCCAAAGACCTATCGAAGCTTCCGGAAATCGTTTATTTGCCCTTTCCGGAAATATTTTACGGTCTTACATCCTGCGCTGCGACAATGCAGCAGTACCACTTTGGACGTCTTGCGTTATCCCTGAACAGGCCACCGGATGCCGTCAGCGGGCCCAGCACTGCCTTTGACCGCCTACAAGGGTACCGGGAGTTGATGAAAGAGACCGAATACCGTGGTCGGGAAATCTGTGGCATTGCACTCGGTCGTCCCCGGAGTGCCGCACGTGTTTATACGATACCGCTTTTGTTTGCGGTTGGACAATGCTTCGAGAATCCAGAGGAACGCCAAATAGTTGTTGATTTACTACTTGGAATCGAGGCGGATCTTGGATGGGAGACGAGCGTTCGGGTGCAGAAGTTGCAAGCTTCATGGGCCCAAAGATAGACCCAAGTTTTTCCGCCCGGATTTTCCCTCGCCATCATGGGGAGCATCTGCAACCATGTCAGACCGACTATGCCCCAAGGCAGCGATCTAGATGATTGTGCTTCTGCTTAGCTGGCATACAAAGCGCGTTCTCCATCGATCTACTCAGTGTCACTGGCCCAAAGATCGTCATATAATCATTTTAAAACACTTAGAATTAGCAGCACAACCTTGCAGCGAAGATGCCATGGGTATTATGCTCTGAAGTATTCCGCGTGCTCCCTTCGGAATAATGAGTTAGGGCTTGGGGTTTAAGTGAAGAGTGTGCAGTATACCCACGCTACTGGATCTGTTATCGGGACGGCCCGTCTGAGAACTGAGGTCCCCGTTGGATTAGTATTGAATCTTAAACTTTTACTTGGTTATAATTTCACCTAATATATGACAAGTTTCTCCGATATGTGGTTGAATATCTCCGGAGTCCTTCCATCATACCAAAGCTACTCGTTTCCAAGCTACCATGGATGATCAGCTGTTCATTTCACGGAAAGAGTCTTTTCCTGCATAGAATCGGACAATCGGTTCCACAGCTAGAATGGATCCATTTTCATTTTTCTACGTTCTCTCTTTTAGGTACGGTTTCTAGACAGCCTCCACTGCATAGTGTCGCCTGTCATAATGCCAAACAAAGAGCGTGCAATGCATATCTTTAGCCCATGCCCCTGAGTGTTAGTTTTATTTTTATTTTCTTCTGTTCTCTTCTCTTCCCCCTCTTTCTACGGTTACCCAATAAGATCTGTCTTCCCAACCATCTGGATGATGCGACAGTGGATACATACCTGGCCAGGGGGGTTGGCGCTACGTAGGTAGTTGCTGTTTATCGCGCCGACTCAACTCAGGGGTGAAGCGCTCAGAGATCGTTACAGGAGGAGCTGTCGGAGTGGGTAAAAGCCAACCCTTATACTTTCCCTCGGCCGAGTGTTGCCTGTCATCAACATCGCCATAATGTAAGCTTTGCGTCGCATGTAATTCGTACTCCGTACATTTTTATCTTTTCCACTGCAACGGCCTAGGTTACCCGATCTTAGCCGTTTCAACTATTGATAAGCTAAGACAAATGCACGTCCCTTCAAGGAGTCCTGTGAACGCTACAAGCATTGAGTAGTATCGGATAAGTAATGAATAGACTCGGTTACCTTCCTGAAGGGGTATAAGTTGAATGAGTTGACGATGTTTGCTTCCCGTTGGGGCAAAAGACGCGCCAAGAGGTTCTCGAATCGAGGGCCAAGGTTTGCATCTCTCCGAGGAAAACCCGTCACTAACCTAACCAACCTGTTTCACACACACTGCCTCCAAAGTCTCCAACGTCTCAGTAGCACGGACAAGCATGCCCCTTTCAGCAACGGAAATCTCACCGGATGGAGCTTATAAGACTTCTTCTTATTCTGACACCAGGGTTGTGGATCGGCACGCACCTAGCCCTATGTAAAAAGCTCAATGATTTGAAGGGCAATGGACGAGTAAAATAGGCTGTACCGCACGTCATTCGGTTGTTAGTGGGTTTTATCTGCCGACGTAGATCCACCTATGGAGTATGTCCGTGACCACAGGGGGATATGCAACAAAGGTTGCAACCAACACGGATGATTATCGGCTCGTTTCACGGAGGGGCGAGGAGGCGCATAACCATAATGTCATGGTCTTATATCACCTGCGTATTTATACAAGCATGTGAACGTACAAACCCTTTAATACTACCTATATTTTGATCCCAGCTATTTTTTTTTTTTTTTTGTCTGTTACTTTCAGCTCAATTTTTCTGAGCTTTCCTGAACCGGTCATGCCTTCAGTTCACTCTGGCACCAGTTCGGAATCATCCAGCCCGGTGCAGAAAAACGTGAAGAAGTGGTGGAAAGAGAGCACAGTATACCAAGTCTACCCAGCATCTTTCAAGGACTCTGATGGAGACGGTATCGGGGACTTACAGGGTATCCTATCCAAGCTAGATTATATCAAAAGTCTCGGGGCCAACATAATATGGCTCAATCCAATCTTCTGTTCTCCCCATGTCGATATGGGATACGACATCAGTGACTACTATAATATTTATCGGCCCTATGGGACAGTCGAAGACCTTGACCAATTAACAGCCGCGATCCACGAGCGGGGAATGAAGTTGGTGCTGGATTTAGTAGTAAACCATACTTCAGACCAGGTATGCTACCCCTGTATCACGGTCAAAGAGAATACTAACAATATGTGTCTAGCATCGGTGGTTCCAAGAAGCGCGTTCGTCAAAGGCTAACCCCTACCGTGACTGGTACATCTGGAGGAAGCCGATATATGGAGAAGATGGAAAGCCTCAGCCACCGAACAACTGGAAGTCTTATTTTGGGGGTGTGTATAATGTTTATCAAGTCTTGATATCCCCCATTCTAACGTTCTACAGGAAGTGTTTGGGAATACGATGAACCGTCCGGTGAATACTACTTGCATTTATTCGCAAAGGAACAGCCAGATCTGAACTGGGAGAACCCCTACGTTCGTGCAGCAGTGCACGACATCATCCGCTACTGGCTCAATAAGGGAGCCGATGGCTTTCGAATGGATGCGATCAATCTTATCAGCAAGGATCAGAACTTTCCTAATGTCGAGATCACGAACCCAGACTCGCCGTGGCAGGACGGAACGAAACATTTCGCATGCGGCCCCAGGCTCCATGAATACCTTCAAGGTATTGGTAAGATACTGAAACAGTACGATGCTTTCTCAGTTGGTGAGATGCCGGAAGTCTACGACCTTAACGAGATGCTGAGAAGCGTCGGGAGCGATCGTAATGAATTGAGCATGGTCTTTCACTTTGAGACGTATGTCGCTACTTTGTCTAGGTATATTTTATAAGAGCTAATATCGAGTCCAGGGTTTCCCTCGACCACGGGCCAGGAGGCAAGTTTACATCTAGAAAATGGGAACTACACGAGCTGAAAACCATCGTGTCGCGATGGCAAACATTCATGCACGAGAACAACGGCTGGAACACATTGTACCTCGAAAACCACGATCAGCCACGAATTGTCTCGCGATTTGGCTCCGATGAGCCTGAGTATCGCGTGCCTTCGGCAAAGATGTTAGCCACTTTCCTAGGTTTTCAGAGCGGGACTCTGTTCATCTACCAAGGCCAAGAGCTGGGAATGCCCAACGTGCCCAAACATTGGGGAGTCAACCAGTATAGGGATATTGAAACCTTAAATCATTGGAATGAGTAAGCGCATTGGTCGTAATCGTTTCGCATAGAGCACGGGCTAACCAGGGTCAGGATCACCACCAATGCTCCACAAAACACCCCACTACATGAGGCCTGTCTCGTTGAATACAGATTAAAGTCGAGGGATAATGCACGGACGCCCATGCAGTGGGACGATTCTCCCAACGCTGGCTTCTCGTCCGCTCGACCTTGGCTTCCCGTTCACGATGACTACAAGAGTCTCAACGCATTAGACCAAGTCAACGATAAGGACAGTGTGTACCACTACTGGGCTAGCGTGCTGCGACTACGGAAAGCGTGCCCCGATATCCTAGTATATGGGTCGTTTGAGCTCCTATCTCCCGAGCATCCAGACTTATTTGTCTACGCCCGAACAGCCTCTGCTGGTCGAGCTGTTATAGTCACCAACTTTCGCCCGCACGAAGTAGCCTGGTCTGTCCCAGAGAAAGCCTTTAACTCCTCCGGAGATGTCGCACTCTCTAGTTACCCTGGCCGAATGAGCCATTCCTTACTTCAACCAACGGTTACCATCAAGCCTTTCGAAGCCTTTGTCTGGCTCAGTGGGACTGAAACATCACGACTGTAGATTATAATACGAACAATTAATGACCTTATTTAGTATCGTTCCATTGCACATCATCCCCAACAGTACCCCTTTTTCCTACGCCAGACGACAATCCAGACCCTTTTCGTGGTAACTGAGTCGTCGAGACTTCCCCAACTGTCTGACCCATCAAACCTAGAGACCCAAAGGTAACATATGCAGAAATACCGCGGTCATACGTCCAGAAACAACGTCTCGTCCGAGGTATCAAATTTCCGCGGCACAGAACGCACTTAAGTTCTAATCTCACATTTTGGGGCAATCACTTTCTTTAATTCCCTGCACCAAGGACAAATTTTCCGAAGAAGCTCCGAGGACGGACCAATTTATCTCCTGGACTTTTCCACCCATTTATTTCATTTTTATCCTTTCGCTTATTGCCAGTTTCCAATAATCTGACACATATCGGAAGTGGGGCTGGAGCTCTTTGCATGCCATGCGATTATTTAAGCTTGATTCGTGGACTTTTGTTCTCACGCTTGTGTTGGTTGTGTCAGCTGCGCTGCTCGGTTTTCTCCCCGATGTCAACTGTCTTCGGGGTCCACAACGATGATTATGAATTGATTGTTGCCAAGTTGGCTTTTTTTTTTTTTTTTTTTTTTACAAAATAGTGATATTGGTGCTTCATGACCAAGAAAATTCCCCTTAGTTAATCAATCGGATAGTTGAGTAATCATGCATCGTTAATGTGCCGACCAGTGGAGCGTTCCAAAAACTAGTCGCCAGATCTGACACAGGGGGGTTGCAACTGCAAACCTATCGCAGCCCTAACTTCATCCCAATCGGTGGTTTTTCCTGCCCAAATCACCCAATCTGCAAGGGATAAACGTTCTTCATTAGCCTCCTATGCTCCTGATCCATCTTATGATAACACGACGCAAACTCAAATAACTTCCCAGCAACACACGTCTCATGCAGATCAAGCGGACTAGCTTTACGCAGAAGTCTCTTGTAGAGCTCCATTAAGGTGCACGTTTCCGTGAAGGTCGCACAGTTCATGAATCTGTAGTCTGCGCTGATCGCAGGACCAGGCGGGAACTCAGCAGGGTTATCAATAGCCAGGAACTGCTTCAGCGTCCAGACCGATAGGTGCGGCCCACAGGGTGGACTTGAGAAGAACTCTTCCAGAAAGGGGAATTGGAGCCGTTCGCGTCGGAAGCCCTTCAAGTCCATCAGTTGGATCATTGTTCCTGATTCATAGGCTTTCCAGAACTCCGTGAATGTGGCTTTTTGTATATTTTTCATCCGGGGGATGGGGCCTGGGACGTCATTAAATAGTTTGTCTCCGATGAGGAGTCTTTTGTACAGTTCCCTGAGAGCCCCTTCCTCGCCTTCGTCGTAACCGGTGCAAAAGCCAAAATTGAACCAATTTGTTTCACTGGGGTTGGGATGGGACATGTGTAGAGTTAGAGCTAACATATAGAAGCAGTCTCTCTTGGCTTCTGGTTTGAGTTCCTTGTAGTGTTTGTCCTGGTCTTTCTTGTCCAGGTATGACCGTGCTTCGTCAAGATTGTAGCTACGGTTCGCTGCATTGCCTTTTCTGCTGTTATTGGCTTATCCAGGCATTGGGTATGCTTTAAAAACCATGGAAAGTATGCACCCCGGAACCGCTCAGGTATTTGGTAAAAAACTTTTTGATGTTGGCAACAAGGGTGCCTTCCACTTGCCACTTGTGAATATCCTCAACGGGAACGTCCTTTATCCAAAGGCCTTTGTAGAGCCCCAAGAGCTTACTCTTGCCTGCAAATGACCCGAAATAATCGAAGCCGAAGTCTGCGCAAACTTCCTCCTCTTCAGGAATGAGGTTTTCTTCAATGCTTCTGTATAGGAAATCCGCGGATGTCAACGGGCGTTTCGTGCAAGTGAAGAGATGTCTTCCGGAGCGCTTGTCCTCGCACGATTGGCTGCAGTAGAAGTCCATCTGACATAGACTGCATCTTCGTGATGTTTCTCGGAAGCAAGTATAGCATTCATCAATATACCTTGTATGACCATGTCGAGTACTGCTATCGTTTGGCTTAACATCCGAGCTCGAACCCTGATGCGCCGATACTTGCTCTTCCGCTTCCAACCTGTGATCCTATTACTTAACCGATCGTGATAATATTTCTAAATACGTTATTTCCCGGTTTCTTACCTTTTGAATGCTTCAACAACTCGGTACTGCTAAGACTTCATTCTCATCCGCTCTATCTCAGTCTTTCTTCGCGCATTGCTAGGGTCATGATTGGTGAAAGTACTGCTTCCACCAACAACAGACGTCTTTTCTTGGCGAATCCCTTTCTTGATCTCAGCTTTCAACTCCTTCTTCAGACGTCTCTGTAGTTGTATAAGTGCATTCGATATTTTCTCCGAGCTCCCAAGTGTCATTCCCGATACCTCAAGAACGGACCATGGCTTAAACAGCCGACCATGACAGCCCCTCGTTCTGATCTTACTATGCGCTTGCAGAAAATGCCAACACATGAAACACCTGTACTTGCTACAGCCAAAGTATGGAAATAATCCATCGAACGTTTGTCCACCCTTACTAAGATAAAAGATCATTTGGACCTCGGAGTGTACGTTAAGCTTCTGCTTCTGCAAGTCCCTGAAGCTGCCTCTTGCTTTGGGGACGATCCATTTCTGGCCTATTACCTTCTTAATCGTTGATAGGTCTAAAGTTACATCAACGAGATTGAATGCCTGGCTTAGGTTGAGGGGGCTTTGGAGTGCTTTTTGTGTAGCGATGTCGCGAGGCACCGAGATTATGGTTGCTTTCTTGAAGCTTGGGAGGTTGAGCGCGATATCCTTAAATGTTTCGAAAGCGGCTCGTAATCTGCTGAGGAAGCAGATGCTTTCCCATAGTTTCTTCGTTCGTGGAGTGCTATGAGGGGAGGTTTGGAGGAGCTCTCGGACGGGTTTCATCATCCGTAGCTCGTATAGCTTTATGACGAGGAGGCTATATCTGTCTGTCAAGGCTTGACCGGGGAAATTCCTATGGAAGATCAATTGATGAAAGTTTTGAAGACGCTGACGGACTGGGGAGAATTCATCATCTCTATCCTCATGAAGAAGATGCTCGCAATCCTTCAAGCTGGACCTCAAGTTCGGAATATACGTGCTCTCAAGCCGAGCACGATAGTATATCAACATCTCGGTCCACAGTTCCTCAGCATATTGACTTTCTACACCATATTAGTACCATACCCTATCTCCATCCCCAGCAAATAGACATCCAAACACTCACCAGAATCACCAGAACCCAGCCCTCCAAGCAAACCCCCCAACCTCCTGAAAACAGCATAATCAACCTCCCGCAACCCTTCATTCCGACTAACCCACACCGTCACCTCATCCTCCCCCTCTCTCATAGAAGAACAAGCCACAAACCTCGCGCCCTTATTGTTAGCAGCTAACTCTGCCGGACAATCTAGAAACTTTCTTTTTAGTTTGTTATGTCCGGAGTCTGAGATTTGCTGGGCTTGGTTTGTGTTGATACTCTCTGTGTCTTTAGCTGTGTTGGTGCTGTCCTCTTCTTTTTCGTCTTTCTCTTCAGCATCATGGAGTGAGAAGGCTGGTTCAATTTGTCCACCATTTCGGAGGGCAAGAAGATTCGCGAAGGTGATAAAGTGGTGTTGGTTTAGGTTTGGGGAGGTCCAGTTGAATTGTTCATTGATGGTGTTTAATTTTGGTGATGGTTTGTGGTATTGGAGCGGGGTTATGAGGAGATATTAGGAGAGGGACATTCGCTACGATTATAAGCGATGTGGCGTTATGATATACATATTTATGGGTAGGGTGTGTTGGTAGCCTTTTGTGGATGTATCTTTCATATCTTCAACACAGCCACCAGATCGACGCCACGAAGAGTATAACGCCGATCTCTTTCTCCACACCATGACTCATGGCGTAGCTGAGCTTCTGATTCATGCCCGTTTATCAATCGCAACCTTTGGGCCTAACTGTTTATTAATAGTATAGGTAAAATGTAGCTACTCACAAGAGTGTCACGAACTGGAAAACATGGTTGTGTTGACTACCAGGGACACCTCCATAGCGCTGCGAAACACAAATGCATTCTTGCGAATTGGTCTCTCCGCTAGTCCTTCATGTAAATACATTATTAGAGCTATATCTTCCGCCTGTGGTATATTAAAAATTCTATAGAGATCAGAAATAAAGTTGATTTTGCATCCTCGTCGTGAAATCGATTTTGATATTGCCAATAGGGAGTGCAGAGCTACACGATCTAAGACATATTTCGAAAATCTCATCGTCACAGAATAAGTGCCAGTAACATGTATTCAAGCTTATCCTAGTCTCCATGGCTGAAGCTAGATAAGTCTATCGAAACGTAACTTGTTATACATAGAAAGCGAGAAAGTATGTTAGGTAACCGTTGTCCTGTCTCGTGCTAGATATCTGACGATATAAATATATCTAATTAGGCTTTATCCTTCCTTCGAACAGGATGAGATTGTATGACAGATAGTTAGCGTATATTGTTGTATAAAGACTCGAGAATTCACATTAGAGAGTAAACTCACTCACTATACTGTCACTGAAGACCATGTTTCAAAAACCCTACACTCGAAATACATGTACATCTAATAATAATTACATTCATATATGTATCTTCTTTGTTAATCAGAGTAAGCACCAGTATGCATACAAATCCTTTCTATATACATACATCAAAGTTAGAGAAAATGGCCAACACAATGCCAACGTTCACCAATTTCAGAAGGATCACCATATCAAATCAATAAGATTTTCCTCCCCGCACTATATTCAAATACTGTGACAAAGAAAGAGTATGATAATGTAGAACGACCGCTTGGCACTCGGCACTTGGGATATTAACCATCGGCCTCTCCCGACGCTCGAACCCGGGAGGGGAGACGCTGGGATCCGATGGTCGCTTCCACTCGCACAACTCCGATATTATATTTTTTTGTATATTGCACACATCTGACGTGTGCGGGGACTATACACTGTGTTTAGCTTAGTTTTGTCAGGTAGTCTTGAGATGTGTCCAGAATTGTTGGCACGTGTATGTATGTATACTCCGTGGATAGAGGCTATACTGTAGTGGATTGTTGGTTTGAATAGGACAATATATCTGCTAGCTATTCTAACTTCACTGCTAAAGTGTGTGTATGTTTCTGAGGAAACTTGTTGCTACTGGACACCAAGGTGCCGTTGGCATCACATAGGAAACGATATTGGTTTCATATACATGGGATTTTACTAGTGATGCGTGTAGCATAGAGAATACATCTAGCACGAGTAAATTGAACTTAGATCCGTCATATAGTATGTCTATTTCGGTCATCAAGTGATACGTAAAAGCAACATACTCCAAACAATGCAGTGACCAAATGCGTGGTATCAATCGCGCGTATATCAGATCCGCCAAGATAATAAGAAAAGCACATTCGCACCAACTCTCAAAAATCATCCTCATCGTCATCATCATCCAGATCCAAATCAAGGGTAGCTTTCGGCTTTGGCTTCGGTGCAGCAGCCGACACTCCACCACCACTACCACCACTACCGGCGGCAGCAGACCCAGCCTTTGCTGCCGCCTTTGCTGCCTCGCTCGCGCGAGTCTCCTCGCCACCCACGTTGACAGCCGGCGGCGCATCCGCAGCCCCAAGTCCCTCCGCCTCGCGAATCAACCGTTCGACCTCCTGATCAGGATCAAAATCCGGCCGTCCCTCACCGGCAGCCAACTGAATCTGCCCCATAAGCCCCAATCGAATGCGATCCTCCATCGGATAAGGCAACATATACACCTGGCGCGTCATATTCGCCGACTCATCCAACCAAGACGTCGCATCCTTCGTAACACTCGCCACCGGCGCTGCCTCTCCATCCTCCATCCCATTCATCCCCGTCCCCGTCCCCCCAGTCCCCGTCATCTCCGTATCACGATCCCCCTGCTGAACCCTTGCTACCGCCCCGGCCTCCGCATCTGCAGCGGCCTGATGGTTGTACTTGCTAATACGCCTTGCGAAATCAAGCAAGAGCTTATAGTCCACCTCCCTGGTCCGTCGTAACTTCCGCGGTTTATCACCCGCATCTTGCATCTCAGCATCGCTGTCATAGCCCGAACTATCAGAGTCGTCAAGATCGGAGTCGCTATCTATTTCATCGGAGTTGCAGGCCGTGCGAATTTCTTGCTCGTAGTTCACGACTGTTTTCACGATATCTTTGACTTTTTCTTCGAGGGAGGCGGCTTCCGTCCGGAGACGGAGGATCCGAGCGTAGTTGTCTTGGTGTTTGCGGAGGGTTGCGATCGCGGATGTGAGGCTGTCGTCTGCGTTTAGCAGGCTGACTGCTGCTGCTGGGGCGCCGGCTGCCGTGGGGGAGGTTGTGAGGCTGGTGATCAAGGCATTGAGTTTGTTTTCGAGGTTGGAGAGGGAGGTTTGGAATTCGGTGTTCATTTTTGGGGGTTCTTTGGTCGGTTGTTGTATGTATGTGGGCTAGAGCATTGGTGGGGATTTGGGTCGATTTTGGATGGCGCGCGTAATTGAACGAACGGTATTGTATTTGGCTAGAGGTGGGTATCGGTCAGCGTGAGGAGTGTGTTGCTTGGAATGCGCGAGCGGTTAGTTTTGTTGATTGAGGACCGATTGAGCTCTAGGCGTTTCCCGCAAACAACGCCGATATCATGTCACGTGAATATCTTTCTCTTGCTGGCCAATCATGAGTTGTTATTCATCTCTACATCTAGACTGGCTTTTGATGTAGACACACCGTGACGTATTCTAGGGCTTGGTCGACATTGAGGGTTAAATTTATACTCAGTTCTTTTCTCAGCCCATTGCTTCCAGACGGTTGAGACCAAGAGTGAGAGACATTCATAGGGTAGAGAGATACGGTTGTTCACCTACAAGGTCCTCTTCTAGTATACCGCAACTGAATCTGTAAACCAACCCGGTAACCATGGGTATTCCTAGAAACCGATCTAGACAACAAGGAAAACATCAAGTCTAAGTTCTGGAAACAGGATATCCAGGCGCGCTAAATGCTCAGAGATCTAACCAAAACAAAAGACACAGGAACGCCAAATTTGAGACAAAAATGAACAATAAATCTACAAAACCAAAACCCAGTTTCTTTTTCTGCCAGATATCGCTAAATCAAATGAACTCACGTTCACTCGTCGTCGAAGAACTTCTTCATGAAGTTGTGAGCAAGCTCAACACCCGCACTGCTAATTGTTAGTCGATTTGTCTCGTGTGTTATGATTAGAAAAGAGAACATACAAGGTAGCGGCGTTGGCGGGAACAGCTCTGGCCAAAGCCGGGCCGAATCCAGGGAAGAAGGCCTTAAAACCACCGCTGGCGTAGACGCTGCGGATGGTTCCGCCAATTGTGGGCTTGCCGGGGGCACTCTGCAAACGCGACTTGATGGTGTCGACGGGGAAAACGGGAATCCACATGGCAATACCAGCCGCACCACCGGCAGCCAGGACAGCGGGCATGGAGAGCTGACCGGTGACGTTGCCGTTCGCATCCTTGGGTGTCAGGGAGCGCTTGATATATTCGTAGGCAGCGAAGTAGGCGGCTGATCCGGGGCCATCACGAGCCAGCGTCATTGCGCTTCCGCGGAAGACGCTGCGGATGCCACCCTCCTTGTACAACTGCCGAACCACATCCAATCCACCGGAGTATTTGGGCTTCTGTCCCGGGGGAGGCGGGTTCTGGCCTTGGATCTGCAAGAGCACCTTGACTCGCTCAAAGGGAGCCGTGATCAGGGTCATGGGGATGGCGGAGAAGAAACCGGCGGCGGAGATCTGGCCAATGGTGTACTGAGGGGTGTTGTTCTCCACGCGCACTTCGGAGAATTTGCTAACGAGCGTCTTGCCCACGTCATAACCCTGGGAAACAGTTAGAGTCCATTTTACATGAGCGTAACGGTCGTCTATTCCAATTGGAACATACCCAAAAGCTGACAGCAACTAGTTCATAGTCAGTAATCTTTCACATGAGATATTTCGTCTGCATGGAAACTTACACATGGGGGTGACTCCGACGAGAGGAGCCGAAACACCGGCATACATTCCCTATACCCTGTTAACGCGATGTTTAGACTTTATTAGAAGCATCAACTTACGCGAACAAGGCCCTCGCGGGCGACCGTCTTCTTCACAACATCAATTGCACCGGAGTAAACACCCTTCTCCGCAGTCTGTAGACGGACCTTCACCAGGTCGAAAGGGTGTCCGACAACGACGGCGCACACACCACCAGCAGCACCAGCAGCAAGAGAACGAATTTGCGCAATAGTCTGGTTGACAGCCTTGGTCTCTACGACCTTGACGTCGTCCCGGATTGTCTCCGGGGTAGAAGCAGAGGCGGAGGACATCGTAGCGGGGTGGTCCGGGAGCGGGGAAAGCTGGACGTGGGGAGAAAAAGGGAGAGTGTAAAGGTAGAGGTTTTAGAGAATGCCGGGGTTGCCGGAAATTAATTGAGAGAAGAGGTGAAATTTAAAGAGCGCGAATTAATTAAGACAACAAAAACAATCTCACCGGGAGAAAGAAACTGAACAGAGGAAATTGAACAAACAGCTCCAAACAAGCCAAAAGCTGGAGAACGGCCGAGGCCGAGCAATAGGAGGAGACCGACGATTACCGGAATAGGATGCTCTCGTGACTTGGACCTCGGCTCGGTACGGGTCAACTGGTCTTCCGGCACCGAATGATTGCGATGTCAATCCCGAGTGTTATCCAGGTACCGGTCTGTCTAGGCGACGGAGTCTGTGTCTTGTGGGTGTGAAATGTAGCGCTAAATCTGAATTACAACATTGGTCCATATCCTTATATTTATATGCATTGACATCCATTTTCCCCATATCGAACTTCCTGTGACATCCAGGCCACGGCGCCGGATGAACGGGCGCCAAACTCCAATTGTTGAAGCCATCTTGCATTGGCTGCCATTGCTCCGATGTGCTTTGTCAAAGCGGCCAAGTGTATGCCACGGACGACAGGAAGTTCACATTGAACCAATATACTATTCGAACTGACCACTATGGGATCTCTCCTTCTATCAGCTGAACCGCATAGAATGAATGATATACGGAATCGTTCCTGTCAACTGACCTCATGCCGCCAAGCGATCACATGCAGAGGGCTGCCATTGGGTGCACGTGCGCCTCTCCCACTGGAACGGATCCTGAAACTTAAGGTATCTATTTAGTACAGAAGGAGACAAGCGTCCTATAGTTTCTCTTGAAACACCAGTGGCCCCTGATCTAATCGATCTAAGTTTTGAGGATCACGAGCCTTCAAGTCAATTCGGCTACTCCGTACAAATCGAGGAATTAAGCTACGCTTGGCATGCACACATGAGAGATGGTTTAAATGTAATTATTGGATCAATTCAAATTAGTACGTCATGACACAGCTATAGCTGGGTAGTCACTAATTATCTACCGTCGTAAACGAAGAATCCGTTACAAAAACATGTACAGTACAGGATGCAAAATAAATCAGGCGAAAGGCGGGGAATCGTGAACGCCATCGCTCATTCAAGGGTGCAGTTGGTCATTAATAAAGCGTTTAGAGAACGAAGAAAGCGGCGAGGGCAAGAGCACCCAGGGCACCGCTACCCAAGACAGTCTTGGAAGCGGCAGAGTCGGTAGAGGTGCTGGAGGGAGCAGTTTCAGTTGCGCTGCTGCCACCGTTGGAACCGCCGTTAGAGCCTTCAGTGGAGCTGGAGCCGTTAGAGCCGGTCTCAGAGGAGCTGGAGCCGTCGGTGGTGCTGCTGGCAGAAGTGCTCAGGGTAGTAGAGCCGGTGGTAGACTCGCCAGTCTTGGAGGCGTCGGTACCAGTGGCAGTCGAGTCACCGGTCTTAGAAGCATCAGTGCCAGTAGCAGTGGCAGTGGAGTCGCCGGTCTTGGAAGCGTCGGTGCCAGTAGCAGTGGCGGTGGAGTCACCGGTCTTCGAGGCGTCGGTGCCAGTAGCAGTGGAGTCGCCAGTCTTGGAAGCATCGGTACCAGTAGCAGTGGCAGTGGAGTCGCCAGTCTTGGAGGCGTCGGTACCAGTGGCAGTCGAGTCACCAGTCTTGGAAGCGTCAGAGCCAGTGGCAGTGGCAGTGGAGTCGCCGGTCTTGGAGGCATCAGTGCCGGTGGCAGAGGCGGAATCACCAGTCTTGGAGGCACCACCACCGTTGGTGCCAGTAGCGCTGCTGTCAGAAGAGCCGTTAGGGCAGGCAGCAAGAGCGGCAGCCACGACGGCACCAGCATTCTCGTCAGGGCAAGCCTCAGTAGTGCAGTCGCGCACACCATAGGAGTAGTTGCCGCTCTTGCACAGGCAATCCAAGTCACCGCTGGAGCAACCGAGCTCGGAAGCCTTGGCGTTCATGTTGCTGATGCACATTTGCTAAGGGGAGTTAGTCGTGTTTTCTTCGCCGACAGCCAAGGACAGGAACCACATACAGCGCATTCACCAACGGAGACATCGGCGCTCACCATGCTGGTGGTGGCAGCCAGGAGAGCGAGAGAGAGAGCAGTGGTCTTCATGATGAGGAATCTGTGAGGCTGGATGTGAACCAAATAGAAGGCAGGGGAGAGGCGATCAGGTGGAATGAGGCGTCAGCCGAGTGATCGAGGGGAGGAAGCTGGATGATGTTCACTTTAAGATGTGGCAGGGAGGAAAAGAATGGCAAGAGATCGGAGGGGGAAGGAGCTGATTTAAAAAGGCAGGAAGCGACGCGCAAATCTCAATTCTACCTCCAAGCTTTTCGGGGACCCGATCAACAAGAGATTTTTTTTTTTTTTTCTGCTTCTTTTCCGAATTTTTACTTTTTTTTTCTTTTCCTTTCTCTAATGCGATCGTCACTGGCTACTTGCGCGGTTGGCTTTGCAAGGTCTCCAGCCAACGTGGCTAGGGCAAGTATCACGGACCAATTCCCATGCGAAGTGAAGTCATTGACCAGCCCACCGAATTTGATTTTACTGATTTTAATCTTAGTCTGCAAGGTAAAATGTCTGGGTGGCTCGATCCATCGCGGCCTATAGAGTATCAACCAGCCGCCACAGATCCACTTCAGCCCACCTTCGATCCTAAGCACTCTTTTCATAGGTCACCCGGTGTTAGTTACTCGATAGTCTGGGTGGGTTCAAGATTAGTTTTTTTTTTTCTTTCCTTTTTTTTTTTCCCCTCTGTTTCTTGTCGGCCTTTTGTTGTTATCGTATCCATGGAAATAATGGGAAACAGCGTGGTTGAAGTTCCCATCGCTCGCTTTCGGTTAGGAAGAGATGAGCTGGTATAGGCCGAAAAGCCGATTTAGAAAATCCAAGACTTTCCAGACCTATGGTTAAGGTACTCCCGTCTCAATTGATTCATGTCCTTTTTCAGCCCCTCCCGTATAATGAAATTGAACCAGGTACTGTCCCATGCACTCTGCAAGAGCGTGATGACGATATTAAAAAATGTGGTTCAACTCTAGAATTAGCATCATCTATTACATTGTCTCTAATGTACCCTGCACGGTGACTTTACTAACCCTGCATTAAAAACAGGAAGTTGGTGCGACCGCCGACGTCAAAGGCAGCGTCATGGTGACTGCCCAATATCAAGGAGCTGATCTTGAGAGCGCACGGGATTGGACCTGGCAAAGGACATCCGCGCTCTTGACCGACTGAAAGGAAATGGATCGCCGGTGGATCCGATCACCGTGACCAACAGATCGTAATTGAACAATAGGCACCAATCATTCCACCCACTCTCTAGTTGGGTTGTGGATCACTACTGCAGTGGGAACTTAGGAGGCGGATTCACCAGCCACACTTCCCACAGCCAAGCACAGCCAAGAGGGTCTTGTAGTGGCTTTGGACTTGGCCGCAATCCCGACTCCCAACTCCCAAATCCCCTTTGATGTGGAGAAAGCTCTTGCTTTCCGCCACCCGCTAACTGCGACCATTGCCTACGGCAACCGTGGTCGTCTTGCGCGCTGAGAGCGGTTCACCGTGCAAGTTTTGTTCTAGTAATTTCGGCTGGTAATCACGGAGTTCCTCGTGTGAGCCCCTCTTGCATCTACAAACCCACAGGTTTAGGGCTAAGGTGTTTTCCAGCCACCCCGCATCACTGCGGTGGCTGGAATGAAGGACTGACACTGAAATGTTGTTACATTCGCATGTACGGAGTAGGGGGGGACCTTCATTTTACCGTCAGGTAGCAAATCAGCAGGGCGTTGCGAAAAGTAGGGAGGAACATGGACGGAAAGGAACTGAGTTCGATCGACAGGACATACGAGTTCTCTTCTCCACGACGGACAAAGATCGCCGGGGTATAGCTTTCCCCCCTCAAAAAGAGAAAAAAAAAGTTCACCAAAAAAA